ACACATGCATATTTCTGCAAGACCCAACAGAATGAGTAATTCAGTCTAAAAGCGGAAAACATCAAAAAAGTGTTTTTTAACATTTGCAGGAGGCATCTGTACAGGCAGGCAGTGCTGATGGGAGAGAGTCGTTCATTAATAGGATTAAATGCTAACACTAATAGTATAAACCGAGACACAGGATGTGTCAGGTATGTGACAGGCATAGTGCGGGGTACCAGAACAGGAGGTGGTGGGGTGGGTTTCAGCAGAGGGGGTAGGGATCTGTTATTGTCATGGATTACTCACTGCCACTTGATCTGCCTATAGCAATAATCCCCTATCTAAGCTCCACAGGAAGGCAAAAACACACAGGAGTTATGTTCCACCATTGGAAACGTCTTGAAAACATCTCTTTGTAAGCTTGTGGATGGAGCTTATTGACATTTTTCTCTACATCCCTCCAATTTACTGCCCGTGGTGATCCATCTTGAATTAGCCAGTCATGATACCAATTTTACAACCGGCAATCTCAGTGTTTTTTCTTCCTAAATTCCTTCCTTCGCCTCTCTCTCTCTCTCTCTTACAGCAGGTCTTCATAAAGAGTTTATAGTGTTTTGATTTGATGCAGAGCTTGATGGGATTTGGCCATGGTTGACTAGTCGGGGCTTTGGGGCCTTGGGAGCAATAGTCGCCTGATGGAGAAGTCTATGGGAAAGTCATCAGAGACCGAGCTCTTCAAAAACGGATGCACGGTTTCCCAGTCCCAGTTCAGTACTAACAGGAGATTGAATTCATCGGCTCATTATCAAGCCTTGGATTTACTTGCATTTTTTTTCCCTGAACTGCAGGAACTGCTGGAGTGGAATAAATGACCCTTTAGGACAAAAGTGTCAAAGTGCTTTGAGGTTTATTACTTCATCCTTTAGCATTTTCAACAGGTGCAACTGTTTGCCTTGGCCTGAATATATTCCTTAGTTTACTCAAATGTACAATTAAGGGTGAAGTTTGTGGAACGTAAATTTAGTCATCTGTTTCTGACCACTATGGTTCATCAGGGCCTTCTGTTGGCAGCTGTACTGCATACCCACAGCAAAATTTGTCTGGCCCAGTTCTGAACCACACAAAGCACCAACATTTAACCCAGCTATAGCAAAAAATGACAGCTCTTTGGTGGCCAAGATGTGGTTTGCCAGAGGTGGTCCATGCATGGGCCAAYACCATAACCCACAAATGGGCCAGTTGTGGTGTGCCATCTTAAAAAACAGTGCCATCTTTGCCAGACCTGGCCCACATCTGGTTAACAAACTACTTGCCATGCCAGCAGACAGCCAGCAGTGCCAGTTTGACATTAGGTCTAACTCATACATGTCCATGTGGGTACTTAAGGGCCCAACGTACTCAGTCTGAAGCTGAACAATTGACTCCCGGTCACATGGTTGTGAGGCATTCAGTGGTTTTGGGAAACTCTCGGGTAACATCTACTGCTGTACACGTCAAATCACGGGGTTCTCCCTGATGCAGTCTCCAATTCGATGTCCAGTGTTTGGCCACGAATCTGTCTTGGATAAAGCACCAGAGTTTTCAGCAGACAGATTTGTGCCATCTCCAYCCAGGGTTCAGTGGCCATTGCCTTTATTGTCTGGAAGACTCATAAATGGAGATACTGTCTGACTTCCTCGGACAACTGCTCCTCAACACTGTCCATGTTGTTTGGACGCACAACAGCCCACTGATGGAAGAGTACTTGAATCAAAGTGCACCACAGTCATCTGAGCACCTTTCCGAATTAACAAACACACCCACAAACTTCTGACCAATCCAACAATACTCGGCACATTTGCCTGGGAGAAAAAGTGGTGTTGTGAAGAGGCTGCTCTGTGAACTAAACAATGTCATGGAACTGCGCCAATAACAGCCCATTTTGTGGCTTTGGATGGAGTACTGTATGTTGGGCCCATTAAGCATGCTTAAAGCAACTGTAAAACTCCCATTCCGAAGGTGGCGCCAAACACACAACATGCAGTAGAAGGAAAAGAACAAAACAGCCTGTTTTGAAGACATTTCTCAGACCCACAATTTTTTCTCAGAAACAAAGATGCAAAAACAGAGTCCCCCATTATAAATCYCACAAAGGTATGTTTTTTTTGTCCCAGCGGTTTGTGCACATGGACAGGAAGCACGATGAGGGTTTTGAACCTTTAAAAGGGTTCAAAAGTGACTGCAAAGCACAACACAAAAACACCTGCTGCCATGTGTGGACAGGACTCGTATCTGAGCATCCTTGATTCAACATGAACATGATTCCCACTCACTTTGACCTTTTCTGACAAAGCCAAAGGCAGTTTCTGTTGATTCTGCGTACGTGGGTGCACATGCAGTGGGCATCGGAGAGGTAATAAATGTGGGAGTCAGACCTGCTGTGGCTGCAGGTGTAGGCCCGCTGCAGGACACGAAACGGCTGCAGAGTCGAACCGAGCGCAGCCGTTTAAAAAGACGTCTGCAGTCTATGCCTGTCCCTCCTCACCCTACTCCACTCCACACCCACCCATCCATCCATCCCGCCAGCCCATTGATGTCAGAAAAACCTGCGCTCTTCCCAGAGGAGAGCGAGACCTCTGCAGTTGCCACAAAAACCAACAACAACAAAAAAAGGCCTTTCAAATCCCCTCCCAACATTAACAATAACAATATTCACTGAAGGGAAAGTGTGGAGTAGGAGGGAGAGAGGGAGAAATTCTGTGACAGAGAAAATGGGAAAAGGGAAGGAGGGGGAATAAGTGAATGAACTGTGCCTGGAAAAGAACAAGTCTTTWATTTTTTCCATTTCCCACATATGGTTTTGCTCCCACAAGCAAGAACGACGGTAGAGAGTAATATTATTTTTTAAGTTTTCTTATTTTTTTATAGAATAACAACAGGTGGTCCTGAATATTTGAACACTTACGTATATTTTGCTCTATTTCAGAGTGGAAGTTTTCAATCACCTCGAAATAATTTATTCCATGAAAACAAGGAACACGAATGCCCTAAGGCTTTTCAAATAATCCATGCCGTACTTTCACTTAACATTTTACAGCTGCTGGTTAAAGCCATGAACCGACAGGAGCTGGTAGCAAAGTGCATGTTAAAGAAAATAAATAGCGCTGAAAATGGTGTAAATGTTATTTTAAAGTGGAACCTCTGGGTCCTACTGTACCAAGGACGCACTAATGTAATCTCTGCTTCAAATGCAGGAGGCTTATCTTAAACAAATGACAGATCTTTATCAATAGGAATGAATATTTAACAGCTCTTTATATGCTGATTACCGGTCAAGAGGTCGTGGATGTTACTGGAGTACTGAGGAACTGTGCCTTATTATAGGAGACAAATATTAACAAGATCCTGTTTTCTTTGTTGAAGTCTAATTATTCATTCTTTTATTATTTTAATAGTTTGTTTTGATCTTACTTTGTACGGTGAGCCAGGCTTGGTTGGAGAAAATCGCATCGCTGCTCTCAGACTGGCCGGCTTGACATTCATAGACGGTGTCGTCTTCCAGTTGCGCATTTTCAATTTTGAGATGATACTGTCCTGGAAGAGAACAGGAAGAGACGTGTAAAGAAAAATGTAGCTGCAGATTCTTTTCAACAACTGTTTGTAGAAACAATAGCAAAGAAAAAAAAAGTTTCTTTGGTTTTAATTTTCATCCAATGCATTAGGCATGAGCAGATTCTTTTCACAGTACTGTTCACTGCAGTCAGCTTTGATTTCACAGAACCTATGTTATACTGTTTCTTCACTTTATTTATTTAAGAGAAACAATGTTTTTTTTATTTATATCAGAGCACAGCAGGCAAAGCACCCTGCTCATATGAACTCACGGATTGCCAGACATTTCCAACATCTGTAATACAAAACAAAACATACAGGTTGAGTCAAAAGTCACAGGACACCCTTTTATTTCAGAAAGAAAAATGAAAATGACTTATCTGAGTAATGTCCAGAACATGGACACCATCTCATAGGTCATCATATTGGCTTAAAAAAGGTGTCCTGTGACTTTTGACTCACCCTTGATATGCTGAGCATAGTGTAACCCTCTTATAACAGTCTTCTGTGTACTTTGACTAATATAAATCTGTGCTAAAATCTATCTATCTATCTATCTATCTATCTATCTATCTATCTATCTATCTATCTATCTATCTATCTATCTATATATATATATATATATATATATATATATATATATATATACCCATAAATATAGTCAATATTTTAGTTACTGATGGCTATAGTGTCAAGACCATTTGACATTATATAGCAGTAGGCCTAGTTGTTTTTAAGTGCTTTTTAAAGAATCTATTTTATATTTTGGCCAAATCTTTCTAAAATACACCATAATTAAAGTATTTTTGCTCAAGATTATTACATTATCAAAACTTCATTCAGGTTCACGCATCATCAATACTTAACACAAATGTTACATTTTGTTCAGAAAAAAAGACAATTCGACAAAACTTGGACCCTGTCTGTATAGCATTTGATATTATCTTAAACTGTTATTTTTTTCCCAGCAGGTAAATGTGTTTTTCTTTGTCCACACATTTCAACAATAAGGCTGAAAACACCCACATCACACAGTGCAGCCAAACAACACGTTTAGCTTGGCTAAATGGTCTCCCAAAACAACTGTGGAACTTTTTTTGTTTTGTTTTAATAACAATAGTGACAGGATTAGGACAGACATTTCGTAGACAAATGCAAAAACAAAAGAACACAGTAACACAATTCCAGTACGTCATTTTGTTATTTAGTGTATAAAGTGATAGGACGCATGTATGAGAACAAGTTCTTGCATTCTCACAGAGCAGACCGGTGTGGGCCAGATCTGGTGCCAAGCTCGCACTGCTGACTGACTGCTGGCATGGCAAGTAGTTTGTCAACTAAAAGTGGGCCAGGTCTGGCAACGACTGTACTCTTTTTAAGATGGCAGTTTGGTTTATGTGGCCCAAATGGTTTATGAGTTTCTGGCCCATGATTGGAACACAAAGCACAACCGGGCCATCAAAGGGCTGTAATTATTTGCTTTTTATTAGCCAGAATTGGGTCGGACACATTTTTCTATGTCGATTGTACCGGAAAAGTTCCGTTTTTTTTTTTTTTCTAATTTAATACACAAACAAAGTTTTTAAAAATCTCCATTTTGGAGAGTAGACACGTTTCCCACGAAACTTGGAACTCTGGACAAGAACTGCAAAATCTTTATTTTAAAATAATCCCTGAAGCAGCTTGAATGGAGTTTCAGATTACTTTTTATTTTGGAAAAAAATGCTCTAATGTTTGTCATAGATTCAACAATGTAATTCTTCATTTTATTTCCTTGAAATATAAATATGAATTATGAATTCCTCCCACTTGAACATATTTGTATTTGTATGCACTATTTTCTAATGGTCTGTTTATTGCGTGATGATTATGGAGGGACTTGCAGCTCTTAGGAAAAATGCCAATATTCAGTACCTGCTGATATTTGGGTGCTTCGTGTTCCAACAAACAGACATTTTTCCTRCGACTGCAGAGTAGAAATATTGCATTTGGTGAGAAATTCTTGCTGCTGGCATTATCATTGACATGCAACTTGTTATGAACTGTAATTTTGTAGCGTTTATTTTCTCCTGCAGGAGTCTCCAACGCGGTAAACGAAATCCAATCCCTGATTCAAAAAGCCGACTGAACAAACCGTCTATTAATTGATGCTATAGACACAGACCCCCTCTCACTCGATTTCTCCCCTCTCATAGTTTGGCATGCCAGCGGGGCTTGATTTTTGTTTGATGCACTGCCATAACCTGTGGGGATTAGATGCTGCTCAGCGTTGGTTTCCCAGCTCCTGATGGCTCACAGCCTCCCCTAACATGGGGGAAAAATAGTATCTTGGTCTGACAACCACTCAGGCCTAAAAATGCACGTGTCAAGTAAGCTGGCAAGATAATTAACACCAACCAGAAGCAATTTTCACATCTAACTTATCATTGAGTGCAGTGAGAGAGAGAGACACTGAATTCATTAATTACATTCCTCTTTTCTGAAATTACTCACAAATAGTGCAATCAAGTAGCAGAGAGTATGTATTTATGGCTGGGGAGATGGCGGGTGGCTGAGATGTGATGTGCTTATTTGTCCATTACTCTGAATTTATTTCATCTAGATTAGAACCTTTAACTAAGACTCCAGGACTGAATATATCTACATATGTATGCCCGATGCAGTGAAGGAAATTTTCTCTTATGCAAATCTGCATTTATGGATGAGTCCAAAAAAAGTGAGGGCACATCTTACAGCGCTGCTCCAAAGCTTGTGAGCTGTCGAAAATGTTCCGAGGTTCTGAATAAATATGCGTACGTGTCATGCATTACACGATATATGTTCTCTGAGTTTAAACTCTTTAAAGTGAAAACATAGAAATGCAATTTAAACAGCAGTGACTACCCAGAGAGCAAAATCTGTATGGCCCGGTTCTGGCCCATGTAAAGCATCAGTCAACTCAGCTAACCCTGTATGGGCCAACACCACATGTGGCACTGACAGATTTGGGCAACATAAACCAAACTATAACCAGGCCAGTTGTGGCATTGACAGATTTGGGCAACATAAACCAAACTATAACCAGGCCAGTTGTGGCATTGACAGATTTGGGACACCTAAACCAAACTATAAACGGGCCAGTTGTGGCATTGACAGATTTGGGCAACATAAACCAAACTATAACTGGGCCAGTTGTGGCATTGACAGATTTGGGCAACATAAACCAAACTATAACCAGGCCAGTTGTGGCATTGACAGATTTGGGACACCTAAACCAAACTATAACCGGGCCAGTTGTGGCATTGACAGATTTGGGCAACATAAACCTAACTATAACTGGGCCAGTTGTGGCATTGACAGATATGGGCAACTTAAACAAAACTATAACCGGGCCAGTTGTGGCATTGACAGATTTGGGACACATAAACCAAACTATAACCAGGCCAGTTGTGGCATTGAAAAATTTGGGCAACATAGACCAAACCACAACCAGGCCAGTTGTGGCATTAACAGATTTGGGCAACATAAACCAAACTATAACTGGGCCAATTTTGGCATTAACAGATTTGGGCAACATAAACCAAACTATAACTGGGCCAATTTTGGCATTAACAGATTTGGGCAACATAAACCAAACCACAACCAGACCAGTTGTGGCACTGACAGATTTGGGACACATAAACCAAACTATAACCGGGCCATTTGTGGTATGCCATCTTAAAAACAGAGCAATCATTGCCAGACCTGGCCCACATCTAGTTGACGAACCACTTCCCATGCCACCAGTCATCCAGCAGTGCTAACAGAGACCAGATCTGGCCCACACCTGTCTGCTATGGGGGAAATGTCTTATAACTACCCATGACATCATGTTCATGGTGTTGAACAGATTTTCCAAGCAGTGCACACACAAGAATAAGCTGCGATAATCAAAAACTGGCCATTTTAAACATCCCCAGGACTCATTGATCACTTGGTTACAAATGGTCAGAATTTATCAATGCTGCGATTAAAACTGTCATTTGTCTCACAATTTTAAGTTGTCAAACGTCAAGAAATAACCTTTATTTAAAGCTCTTATTTTATTTTTCTTTACTTCTAACACCAATATTTTCCCGTGAAGTTTACATTGTTCAGTTATAAGCTATGAATTTGTCTGAAGTTTTCTATCCTGTCAACAAGATCTGACTTTTAATTAGCATTTAGTTTAGTTATTTTACTGATGACAGGTAAAACTGTTGGTTTCCCTTTTGTCACGAAGTCATTCACAACTGTGTTGAGATAACCAAAGACAAAGAAAATCAGCTTATGAAATCCTAAAACAGCTTATCAATACTGATGCCTTTGGACAAACTTTTTGACAGAAACATCTTAGTTTGTTGTTGTCTCACATTTTACAAGCTTTATGGTAATTTGCTCAGTTCAGATATAAAGCTGTTAGACTTTTAAAAAGATATTTAACACAGAAAAGGGAGAAAAAAGAAAGCTAATTGGTTCACTCCTCTTGAAGCCTTGAAACTGTTGGCTTTTTTTCTGTGATCCACATCACTTGGCTCAGATTACCCAAAATGAGCCAAATTATCTMGAATCTCAGAAAAGAGCTGTAATTCCCATCACTACCTAAAACCTTTTCTAATTACATTAGTTTTTTTGTTTTAGATCTTCTGGAATCTCTCCTCTCTGTGCTGGAAACTGGACTTTGATTGATTCTTGTTCTTTAAAACAAAAATCCACTCACAGCTGTTTTGAATTCCACAGAGTGAAAACACCTGACTAACCTCTTCATCAAATTGTTTTGTAATCTTGGGGTCTGAGTCTTAAAGGCRCTTTCATCCCCTGTTTGCCAGTCTTTCCTCCTTTTTTTAGTTGTTTCTAATGAAGAGGGAACAYGTGAAAATATACAGAAAAAAAGGTCAGTCTTCTGCAGCACACACGACTTCCATCTTTCTAAATAAAAAAATAAAAAAATAAATAAACTTCCATGTTTCTTTCTGGGTCTGTGC